AGACACAAAGAGGGCACGCATAGACACAAAGAGGGCATGCATAGACACAAAGAGGGCATGCAGAGACACAAAGAGGGCATGCATAGACACAAAGAGGGCATGCAGAGACACAAAGAGGGCATGCATAGACACAAAGAGGGCATGCAGAGACACAAAGAGGGCATGCATAGACACAAAGAGGGCATGCATAGACACAAAGAGGGCATGCAGAGACACAAAGAGGGCATGCAGAGACACAAAGAGGGCATGCAGAGACACAAAGAGGGCATGCAGAGACACAAAGAGGGCATGCAGAGACACAAAGAGGGCATGCATAGACACAAAGAGGGCATGCAGAGACACAAAGAGGGCATGCATAGACACAAAGAGGGCATGCATAGACACAAAGAGGGCATGCAGAGACACAAAGAGGGCATGCAGAGACACAAAGAGGGCATGCAGAGACACAAAGAGGGCATGCATAGACACAAAGAGGGCATGCATAGACACAAAGAGGGCATGCAGAGACACAAAGAGGGCATGCATAGACACAAAGAGGGCATGCATAGACACAAAGAGGGCATGCAGAGACACAAAGAGGGCATGCATAGACACAAAGAGGGCATGCAGAGACACAAAGAGGGAATGCAGAGACACAAAGAGGGCATGCATAGACACAAAGAGGGCATGCATAGACACAAAGAGGGCATGCAGAGACACAAAGAGGGCATGCAGAGACACAAAGAGGGCATGCATAGACACAAAGAGGGCATGCAGAGACACAAAGAGGGCATGCATAGACACAAAGAGGGCATGCATAGACACAAAGAGGGCATGCAGAGACACAAAGAGGGAATGCAGAGACACAAAGAGGGCATGCATAGACACAAAGAGGGCATGCATAGACACAAAGAGGGCATGCAGAGACACAAAGAGGGCATGCAGAGACACAAAGAGGGCATGCATAGACACAAAGAGGGCATGCAGAGACACAAAGAGGGCATGCATAGATACAAAGAGGGCATGCAGAGACACAAAGAGGGCATGCAGAGACACAAAGAGGGCATGCAGAGACACAAAGAGGGCATGCATAGACACAAAGAGGGCATGCAGAGACACAAAGAGGGCATGCAGAGACACAAAGAGGGCATGCATAGACACAAAGAGGGCATGCAGAGACACAAAGAGGGCATGCATAGACACAAAGAGGGCATGCAGAGACACAAAGAGGGCATGCAGAGACACAAAGAGGGCATGCAGAGACACAAAGAGGGCATGCATAGACACAAAGAGGGCATGCAGAGACACAAAGAGGGCATGCAGAGACACAAAGAGGGCATGCATAGACACAAAGAGGGCATGCAGAGACACAAAGAGGGCATGCATAGACACAAAGAGGGCATGCATAGACACAAAGAGGGCATGCAGAGACACAAAGAGGGCATGCAGAGACACAAAGAGGGCATGCATAGACACAAAGAGGGCATGCATAGACACAAAGAGGGCATGCAGAGACACAAAGAGGGCATGCATAGACACAAAGAGGGCATGCAGAGACACAAAGAGGGCATGCATAGACACAAAGAGGGCATGCAGAGACACAAAGAGGGCACGCATAGACACAAAGAGGGCATGCATAGACACAAAGAGGGCATGCATAGACACAAAGAGGGCATGCAGAGACACAAAGAGGGCATGCATAGACACAAAGAGGGCATGCAGAGACACAAAGAGGGCATGCATAGACACAAAGAGGGCATGCAGAGACACAAAGAGGGCATGCATAGACACAAAGAGGGCATGCAGAGACACAAAGAGGGCATGCATAGACACAAAGAGGGCATGCAGAGACACAAAGAGGGCATGCATAGACACAAAGAGGGCATGCATAGACACAAAGAGGGCATGCAGAGACACAAAGAGGGCATGCATAGACACAAAGAGGGCATGCAGAGACACAAAGAGGGAATGCAGAGACACAAAGAGGGCATGCATAGACACAAAGAGGGCATGCATAGACACAAAGAGGGCATGCAGAGACACAAAGAGGGCATGCAGAGACACAAAGAGGGCATGCATAGACACAAAGAGGGCATGCAGAGACACAAAGAGGGCATGCATAGACACAAAGAGGGCATGCAGAGACACAAAGAGGGCATGCATAGACACAAAGAGGGCATGCAGAGACACAAAGAGGGCATGCATAGACACAAAGAGGGCATGCATAGACACAAAGAGGGCATGCAGAGACACAAAGAGGGCATGCAGAGACACAAAGAGGGCATGCATAGACACAAAGAGGGCATGCAGAGACACAAAGAGGGCATGCATAGACACAAAGAGGGCATGCAGAGACACAAAGAGGGCATGCAGAGACACAAAGAGGGCATGCAGAGACACAAAGAGGGCATGCATAGACACAAAGAGGGCATGCAGAGACACAAAGAGGGCATGCAGAGACACAAAGAGGGCATGCATAGACACAAAGAGGGCATGCAGAGACACAAAGAGGGCATGCATAGACACAAAGAGGGCATGCAGAGACACAAAGAGGGCATGCAGAGACACAAAGAGGGCATGCAGAGACACAAAGAGGGCATGCATAGACACAAAGAGGGCATGCAGAGACACAAAGAGGGCATGCAGAGACACAAAGAGGGCATGCATAGACACAAAGAGGGCATGCAGAGACACAAAGAGGGCATGCATAGACACAAAGAGGGCATGCATAGACACAAAGAGGGCATGCATAGACACAAAGAGGGCATGCAGAGACACAAAGAGGGCATGCAGAGACACAAAGAGGGCATGCAGAGACACAAAGAGGGCATGCATAGACACAAAGAGGGCATGCATAGACACAAAGAGGGCATGCATAGACACAAAGAGGGCATGCAGAGACACAAAGAGGGCATGCATAGACACAAAGAGGGCATGCAGAGACACAAAGAGGGCATGCATAGACACAAAGAGGGCATGCATAGACACAAAGAGGGCATGCAGAGACACAAAGAGGGCATGCATAGACACAAAGAGGGCATGCAGAGACACAAAGAGGGCATGCATAGACACAAAGAGGGCATGCAGAGACACAAAGAGGGCATGCAGAGACACAAAGAGGGCATGCAGAGACACAAAGAGGGCATGCATAGACACAAACAGGGCATGCATAGACACAAAGAGGGCATGCAGAGACACAAAGAGGGCATGCATAGACACAAAGAGGGCATGCAGAGACACAAAGAGGGCATGCATAGACACAAAGAGGGCATGCAGAGACACAAAGAGGGCACGCATAGACACAAAGAGGGCATGCATAGACACAAAGAGGGCATGCATAGACACAAAGAGGGCATGCATAGACACAAAGAGGGCATGCATAGACACAAAGAGGGCATGCAGAGACACAAAGAGGGCATGCAGAGACACAAAGAGGGCATGCAGAGACACAAAGAGGGCATGCATAGACACAAAGAGGGCATGCATAGACACAAAGAGGGCATGCATAGACACAAAGAGGGCATGCAGAGACACAAAGAGGGCATGCAGAGACACAAAGAGGGCATGCATAGACACAAAGAGGGCATGCAGAGACACAAAGAGGGCATGCATAGACACAAAGAGGGCATGCATAGACACAAAGAGGGCATGCAGAGACACAAAGAGGGCATGCATAGACACAAAGAGGGCATGCAGAGACACAAAGAGGGCATGCAGAGACACAAAGAGGGCATGCAGAGACACAAAGAGGGCATGCATAGACACAAAGAGGGCATGCAGAGACACAAAGAGGGCATGCATAGACACAAAGAGGGCATGCAGAGACACAAAGAGGGCATGCAGAGACACAAAGAGGGCATGCATAGACACAAAGAGGGCATGCAGAGACACAAAGAGGGCATGCAGAGACACAAAGAGGGCATGCATAGACACAAAGAGGGCATGCAGAGACACAAAGAGGGCATGCATAGACACAAAGAGGGCATGCATAGACACAAAGAGGGCATGCAGAGACACAAAGAGGGCATGCATAGACACAAAGAGGGCATGCAGAGACACAAAGAGGGCATGCAGAGACACAAAGAGGGCATGCAGAGACACAAAGAGGGCATGCATAGACACAAAGAGGGCATGCAGAGACACAAAGAGGGCATGCATAGACACAAAGAGGGCATGCATAGACACAAAGAGGGCATGCAGAGACACAAAGAGGGCATGCATAGACACAAAGAGGGCATGCAGAGACACAAAGAGGGCATGCATAGACACAAAGAGGGCATGCAGAGACACAAAGAGGGCATGCAGAGACACAAAGAGGGCATGCATAGACACAAAGAGGGCATGCAGAGACACAAAGAGGGCATGCATAGACACAAAGAGGGCATGCATAGACACAAAGAGGGCATGCAGAGACACAAAGAGGGCATGCATAGACACAAAGAGGGCATGCAGAGACACAAAGAGGGCATGCATAGACACAAAGAGGGCATGCAGAGACACAAAGAGGGCATGCATAGACACAAAGAGGGCATGCATAGACACAAAGAGGGCATGCAGAGACACAAAGAGGGCATGCAGAGACACAAAGAGGGCATGCATAGACACAAAGAGGGCATGCAGAGACACAAAGAGGGCATGCATAGACACAAAGAGGGCATGCAGAGACACAAAGAGGGCATGCATAGACACAAAGAGGGCATGCATAGACACAAAGAGGGCATGCAGAGACACAAAGAGGGCATGCATAGACACAAAGAGGGCATGCATAGACACAAAGAGGGCATGCAGAGACACAAAGAGGGCATGCATAGACACAAAGAGGGCATGCAGAGACACAAAGAGGGCATGCATAGACACAAAGAGGGCATGCATAGACACAAAGAGGGCATGCATAGACACAAAGAGGGCATGCATAGACACAAAGAGGGCATGCAGAGACACGCAGAGGGTGGTGCAGCGCATGGCATGGAGGGTGGTGCAGCGCATGGCATGGAGGGAGGTGCAGCGCATGGCATGCGCACCTCATTTGAGTCGAATCCGTGCCATTCTTCAAGGCATGGAGGGCGGTGGCGGCAGCAACGGTGATGTTGCGTTGAGCCACGACCTTGGACCTGCGAGCGAGGTGCAGCAGTGGGCAGCACAGTTGCAAGTGGTCAGCACAGTTGCAAGTGGTCAGCACAGTTGCAAGTGGTCGGCACAGTTGCAAGTGGTCAGCACAGTTGCAAGAGGGCAGGCGCTCACAGCACAGGTGGTTCATTCAAGGCACAGCAGGGCATGGGGAGGAGAGGGCAGGCGCTCGGATCGGCAGGCAGTGGCACGGCACCTGAAGAAGTTGGAGGCGAGCTTGGGGTTGACGGCCTGGCGCAGCAGGAAGGCATTGGTCCATGGCAGCGCCACCACCACCTCGTACACCCCACCGCGCTGCACCGTGTAGCACACCTGCTCGTGGCCCCACACGCACGCTTTGCAGTGGCATGATTCGTGGTGGGACACGCAGTTTGCAGCAGGAGCGTGTGGGTGCGACTGGCAAGGGCGTCGGTGCACCGTGCACGGACGAGAGCAAGAATGCGGGAACCTAGAGGTGCCAAGAGCAGGTGGGGCACGGCAGCAGGGGTGAGGGGGGGGGAGCACCCACCTGGTGGGGGGGGGAGCGCCCACCTGGTGCGAGGTGGACTCGGGCCGGTACTGCACTTGCGGCGCCTGCACTTCTTCAGCCACTGCCTCGTCCGACGCGGAGTCCCCGTCGCTGCTGGCAACGCGGCGCATGCGAACCACTAAGAAGGCGCGCTGCCCGCCCACCCCGCACACACACGCCCCGCACACACACGCCCCGCACACACACGCCCCGCACACACACGCCCCGCACACACACGCCCCGCACACACACGCCCCGCACACACACGCCCCGCACACACACGCCCCGCACACACACGCCCCGCACACACACGCCCCGCACACACACGCCCCGCACACACACGCCCCGCACACACACGCCCCGCACACACACGCCCCGCACACACACGCCCCGCACACACGCCCCGCACACACACGCCCCGCACACACACGCCCCGCACACACACGCCCCGCACACACACGCCCCGCACACACACGCCCCGCACACACACGCCCCGCACACACACGCCCCGCACACGCAAGGCGAGACATGCAGGAGAAGGTGGTTGGCATGAGGCGGACATCATATCCCCAAGATAGACCAACTGTGACCCGCCCCATAGCTTTTGAGGCGCCTCAAAAGTGACCCGCCCCATAGCTTTTGAGGCGCCTCAAAAGTGACCCGCCCCATAGCTGCCAGGCCACTAGCGGCAAGGCCGTGCGCGCATGGGCCAGAGCATGAATAGAGAAGGAAAGTTGAATTGCATGATAGACGAGGTGAATCACAGTCGTACCTGCAACCACGGTCGAATCGCCCGCCTTCGACATCAAAAGCTGCACAGGAGGGATGTGTCAGAACTTGAGCTTAGAATCCATGCATTAGTAATGAGCTCAAGGCTCTTTAAGTACATCGAAAATGGGCAAGGTAAGGATGAGGAGAGAATCGGGGGCAATCCTAGGGAATTGGGGGTAATCCCAAGGCAATCTCCAATTGGTGGGTTGGAGATTGCTTGGAGATCACATTTGGGTTTGGTTGGGATGTGGGTGTACACCCAACCAAACACAAAGTGCACACTACACTAGAATATAAAAGTGCAAGTACAACATGTGAGATTCAGGGCTAACACAAACAGGATGCACAAGCCGGTGGGCAACACAACATGGCAGCACGTGCGGCAGTGCAGCGAGTTGGAACAGATCAGGTGCGGCAGGCATCGCCAGCAGGGAACACCTAGAGTGTGACGCACAGCACAGCGCGGCTGAGAGAGCGCAGGTTTTGAGTCAACTCAAAACAGCGGCAGGCATCGCCAGCAGGGAACACCTAGAGTGTGACGCACAGCACAGCGCGGCTGAGAGAGCGCAGGTTTTGAGTCGACTCAAAACAGCGGCAGGCATCGCCGGCAGGGAACACCTAGAGTGTGACGCACAGCGGCACAGCACACCGCGGCTGAGAGAGCGCAGGTTTTGAGTCGACTCAAAACAGCGGCAGGCATCGCCGGCAGGGAACACCTAGAGTGTGACGCACAGCGCAGCGCTGAGAGAGCGCAGGCAGTGGAAGGTGGTATTGGACGCACAGGATGGAATACAGTGGTATTGGACGCACAGGATGGAATACAGTGGTATTGGACGCACAGGATGGAATACAGTGGTATTGGACGCACAGGATGGAATACAGTGGTATTGGACGCACAGGATGGAATACAGTGGTATTGGACGCACAGGATGGAATACAGTGGTATTGGACGCACAGGATGGAATACAGTGGTATTGGACGCACAGGATGGAATACAGTGGTATTGGACGCACAGGATGGAATACAGTGGTATTGGACGCACAGGATGGAATACAGTGGTATTGGACGCACAGGATGGAATACAGTGGTATTGGACGCACAGGATGGAATACAGTGGTATTGGACGCACAGGATGGAATACAGTGGTATTGGACGCACAGGATGGAATACAGTGGTATTGGACGCACAGGATGGACTACAGTGGTATTGGACGCACAGGATGGAACACAGTGGTATTGGACGCACAGGATGGAACACAGTGGTATTGGACGCACAGGATGGAACACAGTGGTATTGGACGCACAGAATGGAACACAGTGGTATTGGACGCACAGGATGGAATACAGTGGTATTGGACGCACAGGATGGAATACAGTGGTATTGGACGCACAGGATGGAATACAGTGGTATTGGACGCACAGGATGGAATACAGTGGTATTGGACGCACAGGATGGAATACAGTGGTATTGGACGCACAGGATGGAATACAGTGGTATTGGACGCACAGGATGGAATACAGTGGTATTGGACGCACAGGATGGAATACAGTGGTATTGGACGCACAGGATGGAATACAGTGGTATTGGACGCACAGGATGGAATACAGTGGTATTGGACGCACAGGATGGAATACAGTGGTATTGGACGCACAGGATGGAATACAGTGGTATTGGACGCACAGGATGGAATACAGTGGTATTGGACGCACAGGATGGAATACAGTGGTATTGGACGCACAGGATGGAATACAGTGGTATTGGACGCACAGGATGGAATACAGTGGTATTGGACGCACAGGATGGACTACAGTGGTATTGGACGCACAGGATGGAACACAGTGGTATTGGACGCACAGGATGGAACACAGTGGTATTGGACGCACAGGATGGAACACAGTGGTATTGGACGCACAGAATGGAACACAGTGGTATTGGACGCACAGGATGGAATACAGTGGTATTGGACGCACAGGATGGAATACAGTGGTATTGGACGCACAGGATGGAATACAGTGGTATTGGACGCACAGGATGGAATACAGTGGTATTGGACGCACAGGATGGAATACAGTGGTATTGGACGCACAGGATGGAATACAGTGGTATTGGACGCACAGGATGGAATACAGTGGTATTGGACGCACAGGATGGAATACAGTGGTATTGGACGCACAGGATGGAACACAGTGGTATTGGACGCACAGGATGGAACACAGTGGTATTGGACGCACAGGATGGAACACAGTGGTATTGGACGCACAGGATGGAACACAGTGGTATTGGACGCACAGGATGGAATATAGTGGTATTGGACGCACAGGATGGAACACAGTGGATGCTGTAGCCGCACGTTGGCTTCGAGTCGACTCAAAAGTCATCTCGGATGCTGTAGCCGCACCTTGTTTTGAGAAGCACGCATGCGATGAGACGTGATAAAAGAGAGTTTTTGAGGGTTTCAGGTTTAAGGTTCCTGAGAAACTCTCTTTTATCACGAGGAAAACAGTGGATGCTGTGGCCGCACCTTGGATTTGGAAGCACGCGTGCTGGAATGGCGTGGCGGGGCCATCCCACCCGTCGCCGCTGATGTTGACGTGCGAGAACCCTAACTCGGCGAGATCCGATCCTTCTGCGGCACGCGTGTCCGCGTAAGCGCCGGCTTGACTGCAGATATTGTTGGGGTCGAAGGAGGAAAGCGACGCGGTCGCGGACGGGGAAGAAGACGCGCTGCTGCTAGGTGCCGAACCCGCAGCGTCGTGAACAATGCCGCCTAGCAGAGCCTGTGGCGCGCTGGGTGATTTAAAATCGGCCCGGCCCGGGGAACTAGAAGCAAGAGTGGAGGTAGGAGAAGCGACGGTGAAAATGGAGCTGGAGAAGACCCATATTCGGCAGACGAGGAGGAAGCACACGAGGACACAGAGACATGAGAGCACAATTCGACGACGGAGAGCCATGATGGCATGGGAGTCGGCCGGCTGTGATTGTGGTCAGCAGGGCGCGCTGCACGTGGGATACGCTGCTAGCATGCGAGGTGCGTATGAGTAGGGGCTGCTGCCGGCTGATTCGTGCTGGCAGCTAGCTGTACCGGCGGCTGCTAGCGCTGCTGTGAGCGGCGCGCGGCGGGAGCAGTGCTGCGCGTGGTGGGCGGGCGGTGGTAGCCGGCGCGCGCTGGCGACTGGCGTGCGTGCGGCTCCTGCCGTAAACTGCAGTGCGTGCGCTGCGCGTACGGCTATTGGCTGCGCGTGACGCGCGCGCTACTGCGTGCGCGCGGAGGCTTCGCGCGCGCGGCTACTGCTGGCGCGTCGCGCGCGGGCGGCATGCGGGCTGTGCGTTGGGTGCGCGCGGATGCAGACTACGCGCGCGTGGGTGCAGGCTGGCGCTCGCGCTATGCAGTGGCGGGGCGCGCTGCCTGTGGGGAATTGGGTGGCTGGCGAGGGAACTGGCTGGCTGACGAGGTAATCGACTGGCTGGCTGGCTAGGAGGTAAAAGGAGACAGACTAAAGCCTGGCACTTGATGATACCATCTCAGAGTAGGTAGCGGAATGAAATGAATTGGAGTAGAAATTATGTACCCTATACTAAATACCTCACTGCAGCACAACATATCTAACAAATATATGAACATAACTTGACAGTGAGCACGAGGACAAGTTCGTGTTTTCGGGTTTAGAGTGCACGAGAAAAACGTACGCCCTATTTCTTTTTCGCTTTAGTACAAAATATAGCCGATTATAACCGTATACTCGTACGCACGGATGAGCAGCGCTAACACTATCATACTATATAGTTTGATTAGTCTGACGAATGAGACCTCCCACTTGCTGGAAATTTGTATTTCAGAGTAGTACAATTTTTATACCTGAATACATCAGAGTTGTGTATTAGTGGAGCCTGGCTTAACAGATGTTAAGATATAAAACTTTATGAGAAGACATCCCTGTACGCTGCAGGGGCCGACTCTACCGAGTACCGTAAAAGTCGAGGGGTCAGAAGAATCGAATGTTAGAAGGATGTCAGAACAAGAAGTGTCGATTAG